AATTATTGAGGCCCCTACATTACCATTACCAAAGGACCCGAGAAGATTCAGAAAACCGAGTTTGATGTTGGATCCGAAACAGTTGGATCCTCCTTCGAAGGATCTCTACAGTGTACAGTAAACCCTAAACTACCAAAGGCCCTAAACCCTAGGAAGATATCGGGGAGTAAACCCTAAACCCCAAACCCTGCAGCTCACACCCTAAACCCTAAACCCTGCAACTCAAACCCTAAACCCTGAACCCTAAACCCTAAGAAGATATCGGGGCAACAGGTCCCTTCCTGGCCTCACTGGCGGAGGGTGTCGCGTTGTGGCAGCAGGACAGGCAAGGGGGCTGGTCCTTGCAAGTAGGTCAGTGGAGGGTTCAGTTTTTGCCTCAATAATTACCTATACTATTTGGGGGTGGGGGGGGGGTGGGGTCCTTATTATAATTATAGTATATATGATACCCCAAAACCCTTTTTTTTAATTATCGGGGCCCCCATCTGGGGGCTTTTGAATTTGTGTGGCTGGCTTTAGGCTGCTGGGCCTTAGGTCTCCTTGGGGTCATACTTTAGGGTTTAGGGTTTAGGGGTTTAGGGTTTAGGGTTTAGGGTTTAGGGTTTAGGGTTTAGGCTTTAGGTTGCAGGTTATTTTCCGCTCAACCGGGTCCCTCTGCTCCGAGACCACACTGACCGTGTCTTCGTCAGTTTCCTGCTAGGCACGAGAGCTGCCTCTGGGTTCTCCTCAAACCCTACACCCTAAACCAGGGTCATTCGTGAACTCTGTTGCTTTTCCTGCTTCGTGGAAGAGCTTTAATTAAGGAGCCCGGAGATTGCTGGACAGGAGATGAAAACATATCGCCTGCAACCGTTGACCATGCGCCATTGGCCAAGAGGCTGCCGTGGAACAAGAAGACTGGCAAAAGCGGTCATAGCCGCAACAGCATCAGGAGGAGAACTCATCAGTTGACAATCATATGATTGCTGTAGTGGTACAGCCGGACTCCATGTGCTACCTGAGGAGCTGACGCAGCATCGCGCGGAGATGTGGGCTTTGTTGGCTTCACTGGCGGTAACCTCACGTAGCTTCCTGCGCCCTGGTTGATGCAAGAAGAATGCTAATGTTTTCTGGGTGTGAGGGTCATGGGGCTTTTGCCAGGAGACCTTACCAACTGACAATTCAGAGTCTTTCTTGACGAGACAACACACGTAAATTCCCCTGTAGCCATAGACAGCATTGTCCAGTGAAACGCCTGAGGAGCCAGTCCACATCCCACAACAAGCCCCTTAGTTTTCAGAATTTGCAATGCACGGATGATGGCTACATCAACCACCATGCAGTGGTTATTCTAGCACTCAGCATCAGACGCAACATGCGCGGCACCCCCTGATCATCCTAGCTCAAATTCGTCACCGGCGTGCTCGAGAGTTGCGACGGACCAAACAAAATTGCGTTCTAGAGCGTACTTACCCCAAGGTCCTAGTTCTTTCTGATCACACGCCTTCTGAAACGGTATAGAACCCTTATAATCCACCTGATAAGCGGTTAAATTCTTCATAAACCCTCTTATATCATCCAAAATAACATCACCATAAGCAACCTTTTATAAACAGCTCTTATATCAAGCTGATTTTGTTAGAAGGCACCCTTTTTCAACCCATTAGTCTGTTTAGACAACTCGCCCTTACACCACCCCCTTGTATTCGTCATCCCTAAACCCTAAACCCTAAACCCTAAACCCTAAACCCCTAAACCCTAAACCCTATAAACCCTATAACCCCTAAACCCCTAAACCCCTAAACCCCTAAACCCTAAACCCTCAACCCTAAACCCTAAACCCTAAGCCCCTAAACCCCTAAACCCCTAAGCCGTCCAAGGCGCGACTGCGGGCTTCTGGCGCGGCATGTTCCTCCCGACGAGGTGGCTCACTGTAATCTTAATAAGGCTGCAGAAGACCCTTAAGGGTTTAGGGTTTAGGGGTTTAGGGTTTAGGGTTTATAACCCTAAGGGTCCATGTACCCAACTAGTATTATACTTTGGCCGCACAGTACCTATACAGGGACGACATTGAGGCCAAAGTATATACGCCGCTTAGGGATAAGGAACCCCCCAAAACCCTCTTCTACTTATTGAGGCCCCTCTATTCCTAAACCTTAAACCCTAAACCCTAAACCCTATATTATTCAAGCCTGCTGGAGGTCTCTTGTAAGGGATTTCAGGGTTCAGGGATTCCGGGCTTAGGGGTTTAGAGTTTAGGGGTTTAGGGTTTCAGGGTTTAGGGTTTAGGGCTTAGGGCTTAGGGTCGAGGGTTTAGGGCTTGAGGTCTTGCGTAAGGAGTCTTTGTCATGGTTTAGGGTTTAGGGCTTGAGGTCTTGTGTACGAGATTTTTTCCAAAGCCCTACACCCTGAATCCCAAGTCCCTGAACCCTAAGTCCTGGTCTACTTCTTTTCCAGACTTTCTGACCCTAAGCCCGAATGACTCCACGACCTGCCCTAAAGGCCCTAAAGCAGAGCTGACAACCTAAACTCCTAAAGTCTATAACCCTAAACCCTAAACCCTAAACCCTAAACCCTAAACCCTAAACCCTAAACCCTAAACCCTAAACCCTAAACCCCAAAACCCTGAACCGTGCCCTAAAGCACCAGATCCCTGGGGCTCCAGGAGATTTGGGTTCGGGGGTTTCTCTGGTTATGAGTCCTCAGGGTCCTTCGGTTCCACAAGGGTTCTAAAAGGGCTTAGGGTTCAGGGTTATAAGGGTCTTTCAATGGTTCGACAGGGGCTCTAACAGGGTTTAGGGTTTAGGGTTACAAGGGCCATTCAACGGTTCGACAAGGGTTCTAACAGGGTTTAGGGTTTAGGGTTACAAGGGTCATTCAATGGTTCGACAAGGGTTCTAAAATTGTTCGATACTTCGAGAGCAGGGACGGGGTCTAGCTGGATTCTAGAAGGGGATCTAGAAGGAGTTCCAGAAGGATTTTAGAAAGAGTTCTGCAGGACCGAGGGCTTTGGCTTTGGGGTTTGGGGTTCCTGTGCGTAGGGTTCGAATTACGGGGTTTCGGGTTTAGGCTTTGGGAAGTTTAGGGATTTATAGCTTAGACGTTGTGGGTTGCTGGTTCAGGGACCTTGCAGCTTCAGGGAAGCTATGGTAGGTTTTCGAACTCTGCCACATAACCTCGGGCTGCGCTGTGCCGCTCTACGAGCGGCCTTAGGATAGCAGACCCTCTTCATCCGGATGAGTGAATAGGATTTGGGGTTCCTTATCTTGCAAGCTTCCCGACCTCAACACCGTGGTTCAGCATATCCAGGCAAAGCAACAGCGTTTTCTACCGATATCCAGGCCCTGCGACAAGACCATGCAACATCGACCATTCACCATGAAGCTTCCCAGAGAACCTGAAACCTAAGCTAGTCTGAAACCCTAAGCCGCAACTACGACACCATAGACCCATAAGAAACCATAAGACCCAAGACTGTCTAAACTCTAGGCCCGTCTTGCACCCATGTCCTTCGACATCCGAGGCCCTCTACACCCTCCTCTCTAAACCCTTGGCCCCAAGCCCAAGCGTTAAGCCCTCAGGTATCGAGGCGAGAAACCCTTAAATCACAAAATTCAGACCTCTAAGCACCCAAGCCCGAATTATGACTATGGAGTTCTGGAACCCGACACGCATACAGCTCCATGCAGGCAGCTGCAGAAACTATTCTTCGCCGATGCCTTGGGGAGGCAACTTTACCAACGCTGAGTGGTAGATGGTAAGGGATGAAATTGGAATCCCATTTTCATGTGGGCTGAAAGTGGTTGTGGTGTTGTTGACGATGGTGAGAAAAAGAGTGTTGCATGGACATAAAGTTGCAGTCGTAATGGTCATCGTCGTGCTTTTCCACGGCAGCAGCAGTAGTAGAAGTAGCAGTATCAGTAGCAGCAGCAGAAGCAGTGGCAGAAGCAGAAGCAGAAGCAGTCGTAGAAGCTGTCGCCGTAGCAGCCGCGATAGCGCCGCTGTAGCCGTAGCAGTAGGACTCTGAGTAGGGGTAGGAGTAGTCAAACGCGAAACCCTTACACCCTGAACCCTAAACCCTGAACCCTAAACCCTAAACCCGAAACCCTAAACCCTGAACCCTAAACCCCGAACCCTAAACCTAAACCCTAAAAAAAAACCTTGAACCTTCAGGGATTACCACCTGCCCTCGACGACGTGGTGCTGGGCTCTCTTGTGTCCATAGCCTCAGCAGCAGGCCCGGTTCCTGCTGCTTTCAAGGCTCCGGTAAGGGATCCAAGCGCTCTCTGCGCGGGTTTAGACGGCGTAGGATAGGCTTAGATTTCATGGGGTGTCATAAGGGTTGTAACAGTAGGGTTTAGGGTTTAGGGTTTAGGGTGTATGGTGGGATAGTAGGTTGTGGGACTCCTTGCCTTTGTCTCCTCGCTACTTCAAGCATGGGACACCTCGCAAGCGTGTGGCCGTTGCATTTGCCGGGCTGTGTTCCCCAAACCTTTAGTTTTCTTATAAAGGTGGCCAGGATTGGCGACTTCGGGTGCGTGTGTGCCGGGGAGACGGCCGAGGGCGGCGGCCGTCGAGTTGCTGCACCTGGCTTCCACGCAGCTCCAGCAACATGTCAAGATTCTCCTGAAGGTTTGTTTTGGCAACCTGCGCATCGGCCTGCCCTGAAATCCTCCGAGGGGAGGTTCACGGCTCCGAAGCTGACTTGCTCAGTTTTGGAGCGAGCCGTGATTTGTACTTTGCTCAGCAGGGAGAACGACGGCGAGCCACAATTCTCGTTCATGTTCTCTGCGGTTCAGAGGATGCTCGCAATCTGAATTCGGTTGCGGCCGCAACCTGTCATCCACGACTGGATGCCCCCCCCGACCTTCAGCAACGGCAAGCGATGAGTGCACGATGCTTGAGGGGGCTGGCCGCCAGGTTTTTGTTCTGGTTTGTCTTTGTGCTCCCGCTTTTCAATCTCTGTCTCTCACTTTTTTGCAAGGAACAGATTGTTAGTCTGCACATGTTGGTGTGGTTTCTTGTGGCGCAGTGGTCTCTTCATGTTGGTCTTGCACCACTCTGTGGCCCAGATTCTTCGTCTCCACATGTTTGGGCACAGTGGTCGCTTCATGCTCGCTTTGATGTCTTGGGCCACTCAATGTGAACCAGATTCTCCAGCTGGCATGGTCATACTACACACATGTGAACCAGATTCTCCAGCTGGCATGGTCATACTACGCACATTCTTCTAGATTTTGCAGTTTTGTCTGGACCCTAAACCCTAAACCCTAAACTCCCAGCCCCTCAAAATTCCGGAATTTTTGGCTGTTCTGGCCCCAGCCCTGGGGTGTTCTGTGTCTAAGTTCGCTGAGCAAGCTGCAGTCTTTTAGGTTTCCGCTTTTAATGGACTTCAACGGTTACTTAAATCTGTTCGGAGTTCATGTCACATAGAAGCTTCAATCATTACCAATATTACTGTTAGAGTTCCTTATTATAATTATAGTATAGTGGGCCCCAAAACCCTAATTCAATTATTAAGGCCCGTATATTTTAAGTTGAAAAGTCGCGGCTGGAAGCCCGATAAAATCCGCCCGAAACCCTCTAAGATCCGGCTTCTAAGCCCAAAATATACGAAGCCTGGTGTAACGGGGGCAGCCTGGGGTTGTGGACTTTGCTTTCGGGCGTTGGATGGCAAAGGGTTCATGGGGCCTTACGAAGTCTTATGGGGCTTTACGAAGTCTTATCAAGACTTAAGTTTTTGGGGGGTTTGGGGTTTAGGGTTAATTAATTTCATGTATGCGCATTTATGTCACGTCTATGATAGAGCTTCAGGCTCTTGTAGAGCTCCACTCCTCAATTCAATGAAGTAGCTTCCCGGGACCTAAGTCCCATGATCTAACAGTGTAATCTTTAAGAAGTATGACTCGTCGTATACTCCTCATTATAGTCTGGTTTGAGGTCTATTCCTTAGTTAAGGGGCATCGGGCTTTCAGTGAGTAAGTGCCACTGAATTCCTGAAGGACTTAGACCTGGTGGTGATGCCTCTCGGCGTGCAACAAAGGCAGGGCGAATACAGGAGCCCTGATGGTTAGAATTGGGGTTTGGGGTCCACAATAGTAAATTGGTTTAGGGTTGAGGGTGTCTTTGGAATTGGGGTTTGGGGTCCACAATAGTAAATTGGTTTAGGGCTTAGGGTGTCTTATAAGAGCCTAACTCGATAGCAATATCATTCCCTTCCAGGCCCTGTTACACCTATAGTATCATAGAGGGAGGTCAGCCTTTCCCCCTAAACCCTAAACCCTAAACCCTAAACCCTCAAACTTGAAACCCTGAACCCTTACGGTTTACGTAGGGTCCGGATATCAACTTTGCTTTGTGGGGCACTTCGGGTCGAGCCTCTGCGGCTGGCACACCCAAAGCCAGCCTTGACTCGAAAATTTGACTGATCCTAGTCCTTTTATGGGTAGTTCTCTAAGCTAGGGTCCTTTTTTTGGGTCCTTTCTATAAGGGTGCCGTACTATATTGGGGACCCTAAAAAGGGACCCTAATTTAGAAAACTATCCATATCCTAAGCCCTAAACCCTAAGCACCCAAGGGCCGACATTTCAAACCCTTCACAGACAAGGTTTGGGGTTTGGGTTTCAGCTTTTTGAGGCCATGGGACAGAAGGCTGAAAGGTTTAGGGCATCGATCTTTTTTTTTGCTTTCTCAAGCTTTCAGAGTATGGCTGTTTCTTGCAAGGTTTGGTTCTGCTAGGCCCCTGCAAGACTTCAGGGGTTTTGCGCATGAAAGCAAGCACTGCGAGCCAGACCCTAAACCCTAAACCCTAAACCCTAAACCCTCATCAGCTGTTGCCGGCTCTATCTGCTACCCTGGGAGTTTCCGGTTCCCCGTCCGCGTAGCTGTTGATCTGCAACCATGTTCCGGATGCTGGCCATCGTCACGGCCTTGCAGGCGCCCCGGTCCTTGTATTAATGTTATTGTTCTTGTTCTTATTGTTATTCTTCTTCTTATTCCTTTTGCTGTTATTGTCATTGTTCTTGTTCTTGTGGTATGGGTATGGAGTATGGGTATGGGCACGGCTATAGGTATGCGTATGGTTGTGGTTGTGGTGATTGCCGTTATTGCCATGGGTACGGTTGTTGTTGTTGATGCTATTGCAATTTCTGTCGCTATTGCTACTGGTATTGTTATTGTCATTTTTTACTGTTATTTTTAGTGTTATTGCTATTGCTGTTGTTATTGCTATTGTGTTGTTATGGTTAGTGATGTTGTTATCGTTATTGATGCTTTCATGGATATGTCACTGATAGGTTTACCTGTATTTGCTTTTATTGGTATTCTTATTGTTTGTGTTTTTGCTGTACAGCTTCCGTTGTTGCTTCAACCAGGAGCATCACGACCACGGCGACGACCATCGAATCACCAATTTTCCAGTTTCTAGCACTTCTCTAATTTCTGCTGCTGCTGCCGCTGCAGCTGCTGCTGCTGCTCGTGCTCCTCCCCAGCCTCCGCATAATCCTCCGCCTCTCCTGCTGCTGCCGCTCCTCCTCCTCCCTCCTCCTCCTACTGCTGCTACTGCTACACTGCTGGTCTGTGAATGCGTGCTGTTTGTCACTCTCACGAGTGCCATACCACCGCTGGTTGTCGGAACGTCCGGTGTTGGTTTACTCTGATAGCTAAGCTGTTACCATTCTGACTTCTTCGCAATAGTACCGATGCTTTTTGTAACACCATGCTTGGGATTAGGAGTGTGGGGTTCTCTTAAAGCAGAGTTCCTAAGACCTGGGGTGTGCTGGTGAAGTCACAGGATCTATGCCGGTTTTTTAGGACAAAGACGATATCCAGACTGCTCGGGCGTGGGACACTAGGGATCAGAACTGAGGGCCGCGGATGTAGGATTGCAGCCCGGGGTCGAAGCCTTGCAATCGAAGCTCGCATTGAACCGGCTAATCAATTCATGGTCAGGCTTTGTTGTTTGGGTTTAGGGCTTGCGGCGGAGGCTTTGAGTGCGGAGCCGAGGGTGCAGTTCAGCACCGCCTGGCAGGCAGCTGCCTACCCTTCTTCGATGAATTGCGACTTCGATTGTCGCTTTGGCTGAACAGGGTTCGGGGTTTAAGCTTTTCTGGGTTTAGGGGTAGGGCTTCGGGGTTTAGTGTCTATCGGTTTAGGATGAGGGTTTCGGGGTTTCAGGGGTTTAGGAGGGTTTGGGAGGAGTATTGTAAACTGTAAGCCCTCGTAGCAGCCGCGACCTGAAGAAGGGCTAATGTAGGGGCCTAAAAAATTATCAATACTATTGTGGGGGTTCCTTATTGTAAGCATAGTATAATGAGCCCCAAAACCCTATTCTAATTGTTAAGGGCCCCATTTTACTCCAAGGGACGATGCTAACAGTAACATCGGCGAGCCGGAAAGGAGGAGCTGCATTGGAGAGTTGAGGTTCATCCTTAACCCTCCAAGGTGAGGTTTAGGGGCTTAGGGCTCAGGGCTTTGGGTTTAGGGTTTCGGGTTTAGGGTTTAGGGTGCCGCAGAGGCGTTCATTCCTTCACACACAAGCTCTCGTCTGTGCGAGGCTTTCCGGGATCATGAAGAGTACATCGAGCAGAATCAAATCGGAGGTTTGTTTGCATATGAATGCCCTGAAGGTGTAAAGGATCCGATCCCAGAAACCCCAAACCCCAGAGCTTTGTCACCCAACAGGCTGAAGTCGTCATACCTCGCCCAGACCCCTAAGTAAGCCCCAAACTAACTGAGCCCGGGGCCGTCGAGCAGGGAGAATGCTAGCCCGGCTCACTGTCGGCCACCAGAATCCGGAGGTTTGGGGTTTAGGGTTTACGGTTTAGGGTCTGGGTATGAGGGTTTAGGGTATTAGGGTTTAAGGTTTAGGGTTTAGGGTATTCGGGTTGAGGGTTTAAGGTCTAGGGTTCATGGCCCAGCCCAGGCCCCCAACACCCCCTGACCCCAGTCCCGGCAGAATCGAAGGCAAGGCCTCGAAAGAAGATCCCTATCAAAACGTTGCGCCCCAAAGCTTTCGCTCAAACCTTTCGCTTAAAACTTGTCGGCACAAACCCCTAGCAATCTCTATAAACCCCAAACCCTAAACCCTACACTATCCCCTGAAGCCCTTCTTCCCCTTGGCTATTTTCCAGAGGTATGGGCGGCTATGTTCCAGGCAGCGGGTGCCTCGCCTCGCCTTTCAGGGGGGGCAGGGAAAAGAGGTCAAGGTTGGGTTCCGGGTTGAAGGTTTTTCGGGTTTAGGATTCAAGGCTTAAGGGGTTTTAGGGTATTTAGGCTTGTTTTAGGGTTTTTGCGTTTAGGGTTCCAGGGTCGTGGATTTAGAGTTTAGGATTGAAGGGTTTTGTCAGGGTTGAGAGGTCTGGAGAGGGGTGAGGCTCCCCATGTTGTTGAGAGATGCATAGGACCTGAACTGTTATAGTGCTAACCTTAACCTAAACCCTAAACCCTAAACCCTAAACCCCTAAACCCCTAAATCCCTAAACCCCTAAGCCCTAAACCCTAAACCTTTAAAAGGCCCTAAGACCTAAGAACCACACCTCGAACTCGGTGCCCCGTGGCCTACGAAGGTTCGGAGAAATGGGCATCGCGAATGTGGGCCCGACTTACGGCGACCATTGCGCCGCTCGGCATTCAGCGAACAGATATGTGCCGGGCCATGTCCATCATCAGATTTTTTTGGCTTTCCTCTAGCAACCCTGCTCTGCAAGTAAACTAGCCGAAGGCGTCTACCCAATACCTACTTGCGACAATGGAAAGGCGCAAATCTGAAATACGGCCCCACCTACATCGACTGCATCAAGCGTGCTTAACAAAGCTCTTCGCCGCATCAATATACATCATCCGCATCTACATACATCATACTTCGTAAACACCGAAGCGTTTTCATGTATCACAAGTGGTGCCCCAATCAATCCTGATTGCTTACACCACGTCACATTGATGATACCTTGCGTCTGCTATCTGCAACAAGCCTGTGGCAAGCTTGTCTGTTCTTCCTCTCAGTTGTTTCGCACGTGCTCCACATTGCTATGTCTGGGCACTTGTCTTGTCATTCTGTTTGATAATCCTCCAAAGTCTGGTGCATATTGCCTGAGCACGAGTTTCTGTGTGTCATCCAAAAGCGGAGAAACTAATGTTTACGTAAGTGTTGTGCTAGTGCACGTGAGTGGCTATAGGCTATAGGCGTTGATGGTCTTCATCACGGTTGGGATTGTTGGAGTGGCTTTGGCTATGGGATTGTGGGAAGTGGCTTTACTTTGGGATTGGGTGCTTGCTTTGGTTCAGGGTGTGTGATGTAACGCGGGTTTTTGGGATACTGTTATGGAATGTTGGCTAAAGCGCAGGGTGGGGGTCAGGGTGTGGGCGTGGGGGTTTTTGTGTGCCGGGGGGAGGGTGGGGGGGGGGGGGGNNGGGGGGGGGGCGCGAAGCTTGCGAAATTCGCGGGCTTACATCATTCCCCAGTTCAGGTTAGGTTTTTTTGTTATAGAATGGGTGAGGTTGGGGATATGGTTATTGGCCACGGTTGGGGTCATAGAACGGATAAGGTTAAGGTTTGTGTGGGTGGTTTTTGGTTTCGGGTTGTAGTAAGAGCTTGGGGGCCTTTGACATTATCCAACCCGACATTTCTCAGTTCAGGCTGGCATCTTGGCCGTTTTCTGGACAAGGTTATGGATATGGTTGTTGGTTTTGACTTAGGGTTTCTAGCGTGAGGTGGGTTTTAGGATGGTAAAAGCGTAGGGTGGGGATCAGGCATGAACGGCGGATGACCCTTGCCAGCTGGTCCTCCCCCAAACTCAAATGTCCGGAGATTCTTTGGGAAGGCAGGCGGTTTCAGCTTCATGGCCAACCTCTGCGACTTGAGTAGCTCGATTATGGTTTTTTGCTGGACATCATTTTGCCATCAGCATGGGGCAGGAAAGGCTGTTTGTAAGTGGGCACTTAAACTATTAAACGAAGTGATTGCAAGGATTGCCCTTCCGTATGGTCAGGTCATCACAACCGACATCCCCAGCACTGGCTTCG